AGAATTTTATCATTATATGAATATTTTTGGAATTTTCATGTTTTTTGATTATTTTTGAATTTGCAATTTTTATATTACTATTGTAACAATATCCTTGCCATTTTAGTTTAAATACAAATGTAAAATTAAAATATAGTACAGTATACAGGTTTACGTATTTATAATTTATAATTTCACATGTGATTAAGGATCTTAATAATAAGCTATCTTTAAATTGTAAACTTTGGTCCGGTATCCCAGACAGTTGCATCATCACTAATAATTACATAGTTATAGAAAACTCCTGGACTGAAATTGACTGTGAATCCAACATAGATATTTCCGTAAGCCTATATTTTTGCAAATTAGCATAAAATCTTATTTGTATGAGGGATATCAAAAAGTATAGCGTATACTTACGTATTCGCTGAGGTATTTGTATGTGAGAAGGTCTGAACTGCTGGAAACATATTTGACAATATAGACCTTGATTTTTCATTCTATGAACAGAGAAAATTATGAGATATAAAGAATGAAAAAATATTATTATCAAATACATATACAGATATTACTTACGCCATTTATTGGGAATATTGACGTTAGCATTTCAGTTAACACCTTGCCATGATCCATACTGATAAGTTCCCACGCTTGGTGCTGTCACTTGAATTGGATCTCCAGGAGTAAGTGGATCAGTGCCAACAGGAGGACCTGGAATTGGAGAAGTCCAAGCGAGGGCAAAGAACAAAGTGGCAATAACTAAGAAGAGAGTTTGGATTTTTGACATCATTGCAAGTTATTTCGTGTAGAGATTAGATGATTATTGAAGAGAAGTGGTTGATTAGAAACAGCTTGCTGAAAATTCAGATGACAACGACATTCTTTTTATATTCTTTAGCGCTATTATTTTCTAATCGAAAACAATATTTTTTCACAATTTAATTGTTGAAAACACTACAGTCGTCCCCAGTGTTTGTGTGACTACAGGGAAGTGTGTTTACATAGGGATTTTTGATTTATGGTTAATAAGGAGGTGACTATAGAGGAGGATCTAAGAATAGCTCAATGAAAGAAGCTATTTACGTTTGCCAGTCCCAATAGAAGTATTAGTATGACGAGAGAAAAAGTATTGTAATGCAGTTACATTTCTCTTAATGCATACTCTTATACATGTACGTAATATGCATGAAAGAGTTTATGTACATTTAGAGTAATGTGGCTGTATTTACATGTAGTCTAATAGAAAATTACGGATAAAAATTTTATGAAAAGCCAATTATTATTGTGAACTACGTGTATATATTGTTACCGGGTTAATAATAATTTCGCCAATCTCTCGATTTTGGTAAAAACCGTCTAGCCCGATTTCATTAGTTTAAATTCGCTTTTGAAATTCTATTTTTATTTCACTTTTGTTTTCTATCTTAAATTCGCTTTTATTTTCTAT